CCATGGAAGACCAGCAGGGCTCGGGGCTACCTCACCCAGGTCTGCACAAAGTAAAACTGGACATTGGTTCCAAAAATACAGGAAATCTTTGCTTTCTTTAAAAAAAAAAAAAAAGCAATGGAAATGAGCATGGGTGTTCAGCAAGAGCTAAGAATGCAATCATGATTAGGTCTTTAAGCAGCTGCTTTACCCACCCAATGCTCTTTTGCTCAGCCAAATGTCCAAGTTCACCTTTTTCTCACACCTACCAACTGTTAGCAACTTGATTCCAAAGTGGGCTGGACTGGGAGTCGGCTCTCCGGTTTGTTTTACTGTTTCCCCCTCCTCATGTCAACATCGGAGTTTTGTTTTCTTTCATCGCCTAATTCCAATGGTTTGTACAGAGGGAAATGAAGTTACAAGGAAGATTTGGGGTTTTTGTAATTTTCAGCGCTGTCGAAGAACAGACTTCGACAGTGAAAGAATGACTATGTAGTGTTGCTTGGGAAGCACCCACAAGTTCTTTGAAACAGAATTTGGAACAGCTGGACCACTGCAGTGTTTTATTTTAAAAGAGACAACATATGTAATGCATATGGCCCTAGAGATGTATGGAGACACGGGCAGACACTCGGAACGGTACCCAAAGACACCTGCACCTAGAGTTCCGTTTCCTTCGACACAGGCTTCCCCACTAAGAGCACATGTTCCCACTTTGGGATTTGCAAGTCACCATCTGAACCCCCCATGTGTGTGAGTCCTTTATAAAATGGATGGGAATTTGCTGGGATGAAGGTGTTGGAGTAAGCCTGTTGAGAAATACCTCCTGAACATGCTGGTCCTCTGGGAGCTGGCAGAGGAGTGGACAAAGCAGACTCTTGTCCTCAAGGAACAGAGTGTCTACCCAGAGATGTGACTGTATGGATGTCTCGTGTGTAACTTCTCTTTGACACCAGAGGAGTCAGAATAGGTCCCGGCAAAAGTAGAAGGGCTGCAGGGACAGAAGAGATCCATAGAACAGAGATGAGGGGAAGCTTTCAGCATCCTATGCACAGCCTGTTCAAGAAGCAAAGAACAAATGGAGCTTTCGCTATCAATGCGGAAATACCTTTCTTTTTGTTGAGAACACGTACACACACAAAAACCTTGCTTTGGGAGCACTGAGAATCCTCCCCTTTTCTTACTGGAAAAAGAAGAGGGGAAGGAAAAAATTTAAAACCACTCCCGGAGTGCAAACCTCTAAGGGAGCAGACAGCCTCATCTTCCTCCTGGAGGGCAGCGGTGGATTTGCTTTCATTACGAGCTCGTGTTTTTCGAGCACTTACTGGGCTAGCCACTAAAGGCACTACAGAGGCCCTTCTTATCGGATCCTCTTGGCAGCCTTCTGATGGTAGACTGGGCTCCTCGCTGCAAATTCTCAGGGAGTCCAAGGAGACTCAGAACTGTTAACAACCCTGCCTCGTGTCACACAGCAGTCAACGGGAGTCTTTCTAGCTGCTCTTGCTGAAGTCCACCTGCACCACCGCCTGCCGTATCCTGCTGTCGTTCTTCCTGGCTCTCAGGCCGTGGCAGCCCTCCCCACAGTGATCCAAATCCTCGGCGCAGCGGGTTGTCGCTGCTCTTACTAGCTCCGCGAGAAGCAGATCACTACCGACGTCAGTCTTCGTCTAGAAGCACCCTTGTAGCCTGTCCAGCCTCATAGCACCACACAACACCCACTCCGCCACCGCCACCATACAGGAGCGACTGTGCTGGTGGTGGGATGGCTAGGTGGGGAATCGCACCTATTCCTGCACGTGGAAGGCAAAAAAGGTTACCTCTCGCCACCACTGCCCTGTACGCTTTCCCCAGGGGCTTTCGTGTGTCGACATCCCATACAATCAAGCAATAGAAGGCATTTGTTGAAAGGGCGCATTTGGTTCTTTTGATAAAATAAGTTCGGCAAACATGTATGGCATTCCTAAAGCAGAGAACATCCAGTTCTTTCCTGCTCCAAAAGAGTGAAAAAAAATCAGATTTTTTCCACTGATATATTAAAATAACGTTACCAGCTCCTCCTCAACCCCGCCGCCTTGTTCTTAATAGAGCAAGCTTAATGAAATTCTCAGAGACTTCATGAGAACCAGCCACCTCATTAAGCATTCTTGAGTTACTGGAACCATGAAGATGATCATTCTGAGTACATGATAATTTTGTTCAAGCCAAATCCAGTGGCTGCTGGTTTTACTTGTTGGGAATTCCCACTGCGTTACGCTCCATCCACCCTAGAGAAGGCTTGCAGCAGGTCTGAGGGAATCGTTAAATTACAGTCCCTGCCCACAGGGAGAGAGCTGAGAAGCCGGCTCTTTTGACACACCCCGAAACTGAAGCTCGTCAAGAGAGGCAACTGGCCTAGCCTGTGCCCAAACTAGAAACCAGCCTCCCAGAATCAGTGCCAGGTTCAGCCATCCTCCCAGTAGACTCCGGTCACTATTTTAGGCTGGGGGAAAAAAAGAAAGGAAGAAGGAATTTTCCTTTTGATGGGTTTATTCTACACTGAAGAGGAAAATGGGCTGGTTTTAAACATATTTTTCTAACAACCCGAGTTAAAAGGTGAGTCAAAATGATCGCCAGCCTTCCTTGAACGCCATAATTAGCACCCGGAGCCGTGTTCGTTTAGCCGTGGGGATGTTGGCAAGTAGCGGATGGCAGGGACGTGGGTCTCTATCCAATTCTTCATGTAGGAGCCAAGTCACCTTTTCAGTTCCATTTCCCGAGTGGCCAGCAAGGCCAAGGAGTTCATCAGCAGAGTGTTGAAGAGGCTCATCAAATACAAAGCCAGAGACAGGAAACAAGGGCCTTTCTTTTTTTAAAACAGCTACAAAACAACGCCCTTCTCGCTGTGCTGAATGGCCGGTTGTACCATCATAACTGAAGAGCCGTAAGATAGCAGAGCCAAGCTGGCAGAGTAAGACCCTGGCCGATTTGTCGGCTTGCAGCCTCTTGTGAGAAATGCAAGCGCAAGGAGGGGCTACTCGCCAAACTGCCTGTCCTATTCTCTTCTAATCAGAGAGGGTAGGTAGGGCTGGGGGAGGATCGTTAGGAAGCTAAATCTTATGAATCGTGGGCTGGCACCCCGCCTTGCCCCAGCCGGTGGAACTCTGTCAGCCGAGAAGGCGAAGTGCCCTGGCTTGCCGCGGTCCCCTCCCCCCAGAGAGACCTTCTGGTGGCGCAGAGGAAGCTGAGAGCGCCCCTCCAGTGATACACGTGGAACCTGAGGCTTGAAGAGAGAGACAACTGGCTCTGGGTCTGAGGAGTCACAGACCAGAAAGAGCCCCCCGGCTGCTTCCCCAGCGCCAGCTTCCTGGCCATCATGCTTCCCAGGCATCCAAAGACAAGGGAGGAAAGGGAGTGTGGAGAGCAACAGCCACAGGCATCGCCTTGGTGAAGTTCACCTTCCTGAGGTCAACACTGGGGCAGTTGTCGCCTCTGGGGAAGTACCCTTCAGATGCTCTGGTACCTGTGACTCCTGCACCTGCCTGTGTGGAACCATCCTGATGGAGCCACTTGGCCGTGAAAATACACACACTTCAACTCGCCTTCTGGACGCAGTTGCTCCTGTGTGTCTTGGGCACAAACAACACATCTCCTTCCAACACTGACCACTTGCTGCTTCTATGAACTTTAGCAGATGATTTTTTTTCTTTCCAGTCTTAGCACTTAAGAGGGCCGACATCTAACATTTATTTTTGGATGGTATGCAAACTCAGTAATAACGCGAGAAGAAATCATCATTTTTAAAGCCGCACTGCTACTGCAGCCCAAGCTTTTATCCCTACCCCAAGAAAGAGAAAGGGGGGGGAAAAAAAAAGCAGCCACCGCTTGGGAGGGAGGCCATATGTGAACATCTCCCAGTGCTCTCTCCAAGTCAGAAATCTACTCTCCCAGGTCCTGACAGCATCGCTGGCTCCTAGGCGATCCCCGTATAATCGTAGAACATTGCATTCACAGAGAAAGAAACACAATCTTGCTCAAGTCGATAGAAGATTCTTTTGCTGCCTAGTCTTACATACCAGGAGAGTCAGGAGAGGTGAGGTGGAGTGAGTTGATGCCTTTACTGCATAGAAGCTCCATTCCTACCTCTTTAGGAATTGCTTGGCCCTGCTCCACGTGAATTCTCTGAGTTATTTTGCGGTTGAGTGTAGTGTATTTTAGTTACACATGTTGAGCTTAATTAGTTAGCCCTTAGGAGGTTTTGCCTACAGCTTTCACCCTGTAAGGGAAAGTGTGAATACATTGAGATGCTTAATTCACAATAAATGGCAGACCATAGCCCTTGCTGTGTCCTCTTTCTGTTTGTCTACTTTTTAAGCTTTGCTAGCTGGGTCAGCACACGATAAGGCAGTGTCTCTGGCCATTGCCAATTAAACTCCGACTGAACTGACTCTCCAGCTTCCAATGAAAATCTTCTGTTTGTTTGTTTGTTTTTCATTTTGGAGGGTGGGAACACAAACCTCTTTTATGAAACCAAATTGGCAATGGGAATTGGGAGCGGGGAGGGGCGGACAAATATTGTCACTTTGCTGGACATCAGCATAACCCCTTTTGTAGACCATCCCAATCATTGTAGAGAAATTGCTATAGACATAACCACTGGAATGGCAGAATCTATTAAAAACATAAAAAGCTAAATAGGCTTCTATAAGCAAAGATCTGATCTGCTTTCAGTATTGGTGAAATGCAGGCAAAGTTACGATCTTGTGCTTAGTTTTTAAAGAAGAGCATTAAATACACTGGAATTGTGATCATTTGATAAACATGTTGATGCCAATATATTTTTGCCGAAATGCAATAAACTCACCAGTAAGTGATGCAAGTTGACAATGGGAGGTAAAAAGAGTATCTTGGGGATGTTGGTGGGAGGTAACCGGGAAAGTGCTAGCGTTCATAATGCCTAGTGAATTCCTGTCTATTTGAAATGTCAAAGAAAATATGATGTGTTTCTCTAAATTGTGTCTCTCTCTACATGTATAAATGCACAGACGCAGATAGAGCTCAAAAGCATGGCATGGATGAATTTATCTCTTCCAACCCCTGTAACTTTGACCACGCTTCCCTCTTTGAGATGGTACAGCGCCTTACTTTGGATCACAGACTTAATGATTCCTATTCTTGCCTGGCAAGTATATTCTTTGCAATTTAAACATGAGAACTTAAAAAAATGTTTAATAAAAATTGTCCCCACCTTCATGTCAGAAGCTCCTTCTCCGTGACAGAGCGAGCCCCTGTACAACTGAAAGCGTGTTCACCATTTTCAGGGTTGCGAGAGTTTTACTTACCAAGGAAGCCAGACAGCGCAGGAGGAAGTTACCCGGAGAGATGGGTCTGATTCCCCAGACTCTCTATCTTAACGTCCCACTTTTTCAGCTACGACACGAGAGCTATTCCCACAAGGGGAGTGGGGTTTGGCACCTGTTATGGAGAACTTGTAAAAACTGCCTCGTATCTTAGTTTGAGCTCTCCCTCCCTCCCTCCTCCAGATGATCAAGTCTCATGCTCCTGCCTCTTAAATGAATACTGCTTTTGTGTGGTGTTTGTTTGGTTCGCTTTTTGGAGAGTAAACGGATTTGTAAATAAACCCTCCTTCATTGTTCATAAACTAAAAAAAAACAGTTTGTCTGCTTATGAGGCTTGTTGTTGTCATACTATTCAGAGCGTTTTTCACTCTTTATGGACATTTTTTTTCCTGGGGTACCTTAGACATTTGAAGGTCCATCTACCTGGAAGGAGCAGCCATGCCTCCTAAAGCCCCGTTTTAAAAATCGGTTCAAGTCATTTAAATAGAAATCTATTATGTCTTCATTGGATTGCTGAAGACTCATTTTTGGGCTTAAATGATTACTTTCATAATACTCGATGTATTCCCTTCTGCATAAATCCTTAAGTCATTTCTTTAATGCTCTTAATCCCACTTTATAGATGAGAAAGGGAAGAGGAAACAATAAAATGCCTTGATGCAGAAGAAAAGTCTCAGCCCAGACTCTGCACACTGAGGTTAATGAGGGTTAATTTATTTATGTAGTATGATGATTGTATCTTTAACTAAGAGCAACACATTGTCAATATTAATATTTTATATTTTTACAAATAAATATATAGTGCTTATTTCCTAAATGGCACAACTAAATTCTAAATATCTATTCTGTCTATTTTTTTTTAATTTTAGATTCCCTCTTTTTGCTGCACTAGAAGCCAAAATATCAAAAATAGCAGCAGATAAAATACTCGTGTAAGCAGAAACAGGATTATGTAGGGTAATTTATTAATCTGCATCTCATACAACATTCATCGATCAGCTCAGGTTCAGAATCGCTTCATCAGTGGAATACGAATGTTGCCAAGTTGGAGGAAGCACATCACTTTGACTTTAAAAACAAACAACAAGAAAGCTTACCTTGCATAACAAGGCTTTTTTTCCCTCAAACGCTTCCTAAGATTTTATAACCATTTGTGTAATTTTAAATTGCATTTATGAAACTTGTAAGAAAAATGTCTCTGAGTTGAAATCATTCTCTTTTATGTATAATTCCTATTTTCTTGAGGAATTTTTTTTGAAGGGCATTATTTGCGGGTCTTTTGGAAACATCATTTTTAAGAACAATTTTCTTTTGGTTTTTAAATTCACCGCTAAGGAAAGTTAATATATGCTCTCGAAAATTCAAACTAACAACAAAATGTTCGGCTTTATTCCTATTAGTTACATATAGGCTTAAAGACAGGGTACAAACTCCAAAACTAAATCTGAGTAGCATAAAATTACTTATTTCCCAATTGGGATACCTGTGCCTATTAATCATTTCACCAAATTTTCAAAAAATAGCACAAAATAAAAGCATCTTATCTCCTTCTTCTATATATTCCATTTTCTCATTATTACAATCTTTTTTTCTTTTTCAGTTAGTTTTGGAGACAGACCAGCAGGGATACATAAATTTTTTTGTGTCTTCGACTGAGTTCCTAATTGATATTTCTTCAACTCTTTTCAAAGCAGCTATTTTGGCATCTACAAAAGACTTGGTGTCATCTGAGTCGTAGAAAATATATTTTAATCTTTCACAGCAGTGTTGTTTCTAAGATTTAGCATTTGGGGTAGCAGATGGGGTGGCAAAGAAGTTGCCTATAGGGGCAGCCCACTGCCTCGACTACTCTCCCGCCCTCCGCAGTAACTTATCATTTGAAATAGGAAAGATGCCTCTTTCCCTGGATGCATCTCGGAGCTGCATGTTGTCCATGGAAGATTCCCCAGATCCCTAATAGGAGCTGAGAATGTTGCAAAGGGCTCCCTCACTGCCCGTCTGTGGCTTCTACCTGTCCCCCACCCACCATTCTCCGCTTGTGCCTTTTCTCTCCCAAGATGGGGTAATATTCAAAAGACGACTCAGAGAAGACCCTGAAAGTGAAACTCAATTCCTATTTAAAACAGTTCTGCACTGGCAGCTTACGAAGAACCACCTACGTCAGTTACTTCGTATCCCTGCTTCAGACAGGCACTGACATCCAAAGCCAAGATTTTGTCCTCCAGGCTCCGCCCCAGGGTGACCTGGCATGACAAATCACCTGCCTTTCTGAGCGTATATTTCCCTAAGCCTTTAAGCAGTTCAGCAGTCACTTGCTGGGCTAATCACCAAGAGAGGGAGAAGCCTGGGTGCCTGTTTCCTAAAGGCCACCATCTCATAAACCTCATGAAGCGCCGCTCCTCGGTGGCACCCGTGGGTCGCCACGAGCCCCGGGCCATTGGACCACCCCGGTGGTTTGGTTTCGCTGTGGCTTACACTCTTTGGTACAGAATGGAGGCAGCCACGCCGAACCCATCGCGGCTTCCCAATCCACGTTGAATTGGAAATCCCACTGCATTCTCTTACATAACAGTTTGGTCCCATCGCGAGCAAATAAATAAGAAGAAAGCAAAGAATGGTCAGAACCAAAATAAATCGAAACGCCGAAGGCACACGCACGTCCTTGGCTTCATGGAATCATCTCTGATTTACAATCTGTAAATGAAGTCATCCTATTTATTCTTTTGGGAGAGTTAGGGCCTCATTTGAAAAATAAAAAGATTATTTTTCCAAGATCCAAGGGTTTAGGAAGCCCTGGTATGTGGCTGGTGCAGTGGTTAGGCGTGTGGCCGGCAGTTTGAACCCCAGCAGCTGCTCCGAGGGAGGGGTCTGTGGCAGTCTGCTTCCATGACGATTCCAGCCTTGGACACCCTCAGGGATAGTTCTAATCTGTCCTATCGGGTTTCTATGACTCGGAATCAGCTCGGAATCATGATAAGGGATTTGGATTTTGCTTTGGCCTGGATAGAAATGAAGCCTGCTTTTCTTAACTCTTTGGAGTAGAGAGAGCAAAAGACTTGAAGTAAAACAGAGCTGGGTTCGAGACTTACCTGTACGTTATCTGTGGGCCCATCAACAGCCCTAATCTCTACTGTCTCATCTATAAAGTGAGGATAAACCTCCCGCGTCTAGCCCGCAAGGTGACTGTACATTTCTATTGACATTTCCTTGTCAAATTTAAAGCAGTGTACCAATTTCTTAATAATATTATTATCTTGTACACAGTAGCCCAGACTTTGCCACCTACCCACCCGCCCGCCCCGCAAATGCTCTTTTAAGGGGAATGCTTCAGGGTTAGAGACGTGCATGGGACTCTATTTCTAGAATCCCACAGTGAGCTCAGCCAGACTCTGGGAAACTGTGAAAAGTCTCTGTCCTCTCCAAGCTCAGTCCCACATCCACAAGACAGGGATGACTATGCCTACCTTAACAGGCTGCCACGAGGCCAAACCAGAACGTGTTTAGCAGTGTTAGTAGGTGACGAGCACATACCATGCAGTCAGTGTGCGCTAGGGCCCCTTGTGTTTTAACCCCCTTCTCCAGCTACACTCTACTCTAGCAGCTCTCTGGAAAACCACCTGTATTTAAAAGCAAGTCTTTCCTTTATTCCCCAAACAGGGCTGGTTCAGTCCTGGCCAGGTGTTTGTACTCGATGAGTATTGTGCACGGAATGGAGTCCGAGGGTGCCATCGGCATCTCTGCTACCTCAGAGACTTACTTGAGCGGGCAGAAAACGGCGCCATGATCGACCCGACCCTCCTACATTATAGCTTTGCCTTCTGTGCATCCCACGTCCACGGGAACAGGTAAGCATATGTCTAGAGGTATTTCAAAGGTTCTGACCCGGCTTTTAGGACCATTCATCTCCATTCCCTCAGTCACACACACACACACCACCCCAGAGGCACAAATGCAAAGGTCTAACTTCATTTTTCTCCTTTCAAAAGACTAAAAAGGAATAGCAAAAGTCACTTTTAACCCAGTCTTGAACGTTAGACCAATCTGGGTTCGACTCCTGGCTCCCCTGTTGATTAACTAGGAGTGTAGTTAATGAGTAAACCCTCTGTGACACAGTTTTCTCAGAGGGGTGTGTGTGTAATTATAGTGTCTTCAGGATGTTGAAGGGGTGCAAGTGGATATAAAAGACTTAGCCCAGTGGCCAGACTATGACAAGAGCTTCATAAATATTTGCTTTTGTTGCTGTCATCAATGCATTCATTCGTTCTATAGATGACAGATTGTTCCTAACTAAATGTCAGGTGCTCTGGTAGACAGTCCGCATACTTGGTGAGCAAGAAGCCAGACCCCCAGGCGTGCAGCACCACACACTGGCTGATGCTCGGGGGAGAAGGAATGAGTGGCAGGATGGCATTTAACAAAGGAACATTAATGACTCCGATGGGGTGGCAGGGTGTCAGGGCCTGCCTCCCTGAGGAAGTGAAGCTCGAGGTAAGAACCGAGGCGTGCGTAGGAGTTGAGTGGTTCCAGGCAAAAGGAACAGCATGTACAAAGGCCCTGCGGAGGGAGGGAGCCAAGCACGTTCCAAGAGCTGAGACAAGCTCAGGGCATCTGGAAGGCAAAGATGATGATAACACTTACAATTTAATCATAGAGCTGGAAGAACTTTGGAGTTCACAGTCTAATCCAACCCCCTCATCTTATAGATGTTAGCAAGCAGACCAGACACTCAAGTCTCCTGACTATCCTAAGTGTTCTTTTTCTCTAGACCTTGCCCAGTGCCTGGAAGAAAAAAACTCACATTCTAAATAATGTAAACCAGCAAATAATCTAAGAATGTTGCCATTTGGCTCTGGAGACACTGAATACATTTCCATGCTGTCACAGCCAGTTCACTCTCCTAGTAGATGCAGCCTCGCTTTAGAATAAAGGCACGCCCGTCTGGTCCCAGGGCACTCAAACCAGCACCCAGGTGGTCAGTGGAACTCACAGCTTCAGAAACCCAGCACAGATGCAAAAGTTGTGGTTCTGGGGAACTTCACACATGGGAGAATCCAGAATCACCTGCCCATAGTTTCTATAAGAACCGTGTCTCTTAGCTCCATCTTTGCAAGCTACCCAACTCTGAAAGATCTGTAGGATTTTTTCTGTGCTTTTCCTCTCTCCAGTGCTGGTAGTTTTTATGAAATGCAACACCAACATTTAGAGCTAGATAACAATAGCATTGTCGGTTTGAATATTTAACAGGCAACAAGGTTATTGTCACCTCCCATTGTCATAAGATTTGCTAGCCTGGTGCATGACCTTTTATTTGCATAAAAGGTGCTCGTGGAAACTCTGATACCTGGGAAGTGTCTGTGCATAATTCTGCTTTTTGTAAATATGTACACTTTGATGACTATCTGCTGCAGCCTCTTGGACTGAATTTGATAAAAGGAGAGAGGGGGAGAGAACTTGCATTATATTCTCTGGGTTGTCACACTGTATTCTACATATGTTACTGAATAAGAAAGTGTTATAAAATAATGAAGTGTTTTTGTAAACCCCCTGGTAAACATCATCATGAATTATGATACACATTGTCTGGATTTCATATTGTAAGACTGCCACTTGATTCACAGTTAGGTTTATACATCTTGTCATGGAAACAGTTTGGGATTTCTTATTTTCTTTTCAGTTATGCAAGTTTGCTTCTTTTTTTTTTTTTGCTTATTATTTTAGTTTGCATGCATTTGCTCTTGCTTTTGATGCATCCTTTTTCCCCCCTCCTTTCTTTCTTTTGTCCTTGCATGCCTATGTGCACTTGGTTCTCCTGCGGCTGCTCACACTCTGTGCATGCTCCCGTGTGACCGGTCCTCTCCAAAGCCAACAAATGCATGTGTTTCTTAGTGGACTGTCACCACACACAGGCCCGGAAGGGGGCAAAAAACCCTCCCCAGAGCCAGAAGCTAATAAAGATATCAAAAAGGAGTCCAAAAAGAGAAAAGATTTAAAAACCCAGGCAAATCCAGAGCCCCAAAGGTAAGAAGTTCTATGTGTATTGGCTTGTGTTTTGTAATGTCTGTGGTCTTTCCCCATCCCTCTGTCCAGGCCACCAATTCCTGCTAGAAAGCAGCAAGCCATGGAAGTCCTGAGATCACGATCCCTTTAAGGCTTTTCAAAGGTTTGCTTTAAAAATTAAACAACAGCAACCAAAAGATTCTAGCCATGAGCCAAAATACTGATTATCAGGACTGAGTTTATAGCCAGTGTTTCATAACTGTTAAAACCTGTTCACATGGAAAAGACTAATTGAGCGATCTACAAACAGACTCGTGAGTCAGATTGACTTTTTAGGGACATCTTGTTCGGGCCTGGGACCTTACCTAGTTGTTCATAATAAGCAACCCTAATTTATGTTTAAGGAACAAACCAGTTGATATAAGATGTACCTATACATTTATCGGGAGTCCCAGAGTAGTGCAAATAAGCTAACATACTTGGCTGTTAACCAAAAGGTTGCCAGTTCCAGTTCATACTTCAGAACGACTGAGAAGAAACGTCTGGCTGTACACTTACAAAAAAACAGCTATTGGGCCACCCCCTGTGGAGCACAGCGCTGCCCTGATGTACAGGGCTCACCATGAGTCACAGGCTTCTGGTGACAGCTAGCACTAGGCATGCATTTGTGATGGTGCCCTCAGCTCTCAGCAAACCTCCTTCAGTTCCCACTCAGGTCATGCAAATAAAATACACTTGCACAGAATTATAATAAAGATACAAAATGAAGGTTAGTACTTAGTCAACAGGATATATGGCTCATATAATGAGGTCACTTTAAATGCACTATGAATTCCAAAATTATGTTTATTATTTCCCATTGCCTATGTCTTTTAAGGCTGTTCTTATTGGTATCGGTAAATTGGCAAATTGGTGGCCCCTTTCCCTTTTAAACCAGATGTATTAAATATCTCCACTGGTATCATCCGGTGCTTCACCTTTCCTGTATTAGCAGTGACACACTAAAAAAATTTTTTGTTGTTATAAGTTTGAAACCGATGTTCTGACCCTGGCATTGACAAGCTACACAGAGTTTGCAAGCATGTATTTTTGATGCTTCGGGTGAATTTGTTTGTCAGCCCTGAAATGTACAGCGCTCACTTGTAGAGCGATCCCAGGAAAGTGCCAACTTTCACTTCCTAGGGAAGGCTGTCCATCAGTGGACATCGGTCCAGTAGTGAAGGCCCGGGAAAACCCGGATTCCTTGTGGCCACCCTTCTCCTAGGCCTGCTCTGTATAAAGATGGTGATGAAGTGGAGTTTCTGTTTGTGTTTTGCTGGGAGCATTAGACTGCAAGGCAATAGTAGCTTTCAGTCAGAAAGGAAGGGCGGGAGAAATTGTGGGTGCCTGAAGGTCACATGTGCCAGAGTGACAGGCTGTCAAGAGAGGAAGGGCCCTGGCTGCTGTCCAAGGTGCTGCTTTAGGAAAGCTGGCTTATCAACCCCGAGCAGAGAGCAAAGGGCTGCGGTTGAAAGGCAACACGCAGTGGAGCCTGACCTCTTCCTCTACCGTGACAAAGTCTCCAAACGGATCCCCAAGGCTACTGTGAGAGGCTCATCTGTATTCTGGGAGCTTTGTTTGCATTGTATGCTTTTGCCCAGAATCAGTGGGGTCGCATCCTGCAGTTTGCAAAAGGATATGCAAGCATATTTTATCTCATTTGATAGCATGTATTCAGGTTAGCTATTTTACAGCCATTTCACAGATGCTGAAACTGAGTGTCTGTAAAGTTAAATGGCGTCATTCTGTTCGTGACGTCATCATTGTCCATAGATTCTGAAGATCGGAGTCCAAGTCTATTCAGCATCCACATAGGTGTATCAGATCCCTCTCTCTGTGTCTCTGTCTCCTCATCAGAAAAACACGCAGATTCAACTACAGCACCTACAATATCCCTTCCACCTCTCAACTTTTCTATGGGTTACAGCCAGGACTGAAATAGCCCAATTGCTAGGTTTCATAAATAAGGTTAAATTCAATTTAAATTAAATTGAATCCCTGCTCTTTGAAAAGGTGCTTGTTATAGGCCAGGAACTGTGTGACATGCCGTTACATACATTTCTTTTTATTCTACTTCATTCCTATGAGATAAGTGTTTGTATTACCGTCATCCAACTGATGAGGATCTTGAGGCTCAAATAACTTCATTCACTTGCCCAAAGCCTCATAGACAATAAATGTCTGATTCTGATTTGATGACTATTCTGACTTGAGAGCTTGCCTTTGTTACCTTGCTGCCCTACTGCCTGCCCGGTGTTAGCACTTAATCTATGGGGTGGGATGCAAACCCAGAGGTTTGCTGTGTTTCAACATTTCCATGTGAGATGAGATAGCAGTCCCCCAATTCAATTAAACCATTGTTAATGTGTGGTCTGAGAATGGCCTCAAATCAATTCGGCTCACCTGGTAATTCTGGTCATGAGGAGAAAGCCAAAATCTAGAGTTGAGGTCACCACAGAGGAGGGCCTCCTTGGAGCACTAAGTAACAGCCTTCTTGTACAAGGGGGTTGAGAAAGAGGTGCAAGGGATTTTTTTTCATAACCTCCTTCTCCAGAAGGAAGATCATTTGTATGTGGAGACGTTATCTATTAATTGACCCAGATTAAGAAGGAGACCAGGATGCTTATAAGTGGAATTTCCTTTTTCTGAAATTAAACGAACAACGGAGCCCATCCCATTGTCATCCACTACCAGCTTATACTTAGATGAGAAGCTACCAAGCAAACACTACTGTTAACCCAATAGCCCCCCAGCCCTGCACTCATGCAGCTGGTGATGATTGGTAACCACTGAGGTGCCTCTCCCTACT